TTATATATTTTAATATAATGTATAAAATAACTGGTTTTTGGAAATTTAAAACAAAGCCTCTTTCAACGTTGACATATTTGGAAATAGATTATGAAGGGATACCCATTCAAGGTAAATTGAATGATTCTGTTTATAGGATGGTGAACCCATCTTCCGCTAACCAGAGAGGGGGTGGAACTTGGGGGGAAGTATCTAAGTGCTCTGCAAGCACTCATTTCACTGGTCAGCTGAGTTGAGTTCAAGTACTGGCACATGATGTGTCTTTGGGAACGTTTGACAACAAAAGAAGTTCTCTTGGAATTGAGATACTGTTCCAGGATGGTTGCTTGTGCAGAGCTTTGAAGAACTGGACATGAATTTTGGAAACAACCACACGCGGTAGCTCCGTATACTTAAAGTGAGGAATCTCAGGAAGGACCTGGAGAATGGAGGAGGCTGCAGAATGCTGTGAAATGCAAATAAAAAGTTGGCAAAAGGAACGGAATACGTGGAGCAGATGGATAGCAGATGCCGGCTTGTTGTGAAATGAAATTCCATGAAAAATTAATGAAATAGAAAGATTGCGCTATGGATGAGGGTGCAGCGGCTGGGTGGCTTCTCTGTCCCGTGCAATGCCTTAGTAATAATCCATGTGGCAGTCCTCGGCTGGTGAGAGGCAGCCTGCCTACACCCTGGCTCTTATCTCCCTCTCCAACAGCTCACTAGGAAGGACTGGATTTAGTGATAAAAATCAAATTGATTACCCTAACCGTTAGCCAGCATCTAATTGTGTGAGGCTTCTTTTTTCTTCTTCCTCTCTTTTTAAAATTTATATTTGTGCCTCTGGTTTCTAGTGACCCGTGTAATAACAGTAATTTGAGTTTGCTTCAAGGGCATTAGATATGATGAGTGAACTTGCATTTAGAATAAAAATATGAGGTTCATGTATCCATACCTAAATAAGAGTGATCAGGTAGGTTATTGCCAAAATCCCATCTCAGAAGTGTTACATAAGGAAACATGGAATGGGAGATTGTAATTTTTGAGACATGGAAAGGTAATTTATGTTCTAAAAGCATTATGTTTAATTTAAAAGCTGTATGTGTAAAAGTCACATGTGCACATGTGTGTATTATTATGTGTATTCTGTATCTGTACAGTAAAGACAGTTAAAACATATCAGCAATTTTTATACCCGACTGAATCTTTTTCTAAAAATTCTGAAAAATGAATGTTTTGTAAAAGGTGCAGTTTTGAAATACTCTAAAAATGAAAATATTAATCTGATCTTTGTCATTTAAAAAATATTATTTCTAAACAGACATTGCTGTGACTAGTTTGGGTGCTAATGACTTACAAACAAGATTTCTAAAAGGACATATTTTC